GTCCCCGCCTGGTGAACTCCCAAACCACACTTAGTCATTAGTAAGTCCGATAAAGAGGAAAGGTTGGGTGTGATGCTAGTAACCCCACAAAGTATAAGTAAAACACCATTGCTACCAATACTTTAAAACTCAAGACTGAAGCCTTATATTCCACTGGTTACGAAAAGGAATGAAAAAGTATCTGAATTAGACAGATGAGTTTCATCCTGTCTGAAATCATCAAATTGTTGTACCTAAATCTTAGTCAGTGTTGTTATTCTCAGTGGAATTCGAATCAAACACTTCTTGCCTCGAATTCTAAAATCTTGTCGTTTTACATTCATTTTTGATGATATATATATATATATAAGAATGTCGATAAGTGGGATAATACTTCAACAAAAAGTGTTAACCTTCTTATATCCACTTATTATAAGAAATATTTCACATCTTCAGAGAAAAGAATAGGAATTTTATGTATACATATATATGTATACACAAACACTTAAATAGTACTGGAAACATTAATGTCAACATATTTAAAAAAGGGTTATTATGTGTGTACTTTAGACAAAAGTATTTTATCTCTTCTTTTAAACTGAGTTAGTTTAATAGGTTGATAAGAATGTTATCAACAAATGGAAAATACATTAAAAGCTGAAAGCACCTTTTCAAAGTTATTCTGATTCTCCCATTGGCTAATTATACTGACTTGTCGGCTCCTAGTATGGATGCATCAGCGATACACACGATGTTATTTCGGTCGATTCTGTCTAGCAGTATAATCCATGATAGGCATTTCATCGTATTTGGGAGTGGTTAGCTGGATGTATTCACATTCCCAGTGAGTGATGGTGTTCTCACGGAGACTGGAAACCCAGCATCCATCGTTTCAAACGCCAGAAGCGTTTTTCATTGGGACATATGATAACAGAGACTCAGCATTTCTGTTCAAAAAAGTCAACTTGTACGAAATTTAAAATCCGTTCAACAAATAACAGTCGATACCTGTTTTGCAGAAGGGGTCAATTGTAGCCTAGTGGTCTAATGAATAACACTTTGGCCTTTAAAACGGTGAGTGCTGGGTTCTAGTCTCTGTAGGAACACCACCAGTCACATGTCTGTTATAATAATAAAACTGGCGAACTCAAACTGTATTTATAAAGATTCAATTAAAATGAGACATTTTTCATTTCAGATTGAAAAATTAAGGTCTTTAAATGTATAGACAGTATTTCATATCAAAATAAAATGAAGAATAATTAAATAAATACTGAGATTGGCAGAAAAAGTTTCTTATTAAGAAGGGATAAATTCCTAAATTAGTTTGTTTAAAATGTGTTTTGATCAATGTTTATTCCTTTGTTTTTTGCAAATTATACAACCAACCACACATAACATTTTACATTTTATGTAATTTCTGGTTTCACCACAATTAGATCAACTGAACGTATAAAGTTTGAAATTTAAGCTATAGCTATACTGATTGATTTGGGTGGTGTCTAACTCCTGGCGTCAATCAGTTTGTAGTATGTAGCGTCATTCGTCTATGCTTGGTTTCTCGACTGCCATTCATAGCATCAAGCAAACCATATATTGTGATATGGATTATTTCTGTTTTCAAAGGAAACTGTGGTGAAATTTCACCTCGAACTGAGTAAATTTATTTGATTTAAGGTATGGAGTATTTAGGTTCAATTATAAATCAAATAGTGGGAGATATAAATAGTTTCAACAGATTATAATGTCAACTGTTAATTTCCATATCTTCTTAGTTTTCAGTAAAAATGATTACACATTTAATCAACCAGTGGATTTACTTAAAAAGAAGTCAAACTGTGTAATCATTTGTTTTCGGAGTTACTGTCATCAAAATAAATAACACATAGCCTCAGTGGAACTTTTGGTCACTGAATTTATAACTTTCTTCCAGACCAATTAATCAACAGCCACATTCGCTTCATACTGAAGATCAGATGACCATCCGAAAAGTATAAGCAACAAGGAACTCTGAACGGCAGCAAACCAACCAAGAAACTGTCACTCATAAAATCTGCATAAGGAAATGGAGGTGAAATGGACATGAGCTGAGGAGACCGTTGAGTGACATCAATCGCTAGATATACCCTCTAGTGAAACTTGAATGAGAAACGACAAGTTCGGCGTTGGCCCGACAGTGACATGGAGAGGATCGTGTGAGGACAAGATAAAAGGTTGTGGTCAAACACATAGCCAGACAGACAGGAATTCAGTGAACAGAATGAAATGGAGGTGTGCTCCACTTGGAACCTAAGGAAATAATTATATATATATATATATATAATCTTTAAGAATAGCGAAGACAGAACAACCTTGTAGTTCGATATTTTTAGGGTTAGTACTGTTACAGAAATGAGGTTCTCAATGGTTTTCTTGAAACTCACTTCTGATCAATTCATATATCGTTCTTTTGACATACTAACAACAGTATACTTTGTGATAGTATAAATACATTTTAGGATTTCATTAACAATTAGTAGAAATGTAAAGTTATTTAGTAGAAGTACCAAGAGGTTAAGATCCACATCTCCGAAACTTTTTCCAATGCATCTAAAATTCGGTGACAAAATGTGTGTGTGTATGTTCACACAATATCTTCTTCGAAATTACGGACACTTTCAGTGATATCCGTTTAGTTCTTATCTCTTCTGTCATATTCTAATTTGAATTTTTGATTTCATAAGTATTTATATTAATTTTAAATATAGATTTTGACACGAACCGACATGCAACCCCGTGATATCATCAAAATTAAACTGAAGACTATCAGAGGGCGAGGTGATCCTGTTGACCATTCAGCCACTGAGTCATAATCCAATTACCAGTACATTCTAACTTCCATCTCTTTGTGACATAGCCACACTGGTAACCAGTGGTTTAATCATCGACAACTGAATTCGATACATAAAAGGAAGGTTTTTCGGCATGTATTTCTCAAGAGTCCCAAACTACTGCGAGAAGGCTGTCCAGCGCTCTTTGGTTTCAAAAATTCACATTTGTTTATTGTGCCTCTTGTGAAATGTAATAACCTATAGAGATATACTTTTGTCAATGTTTCCGCACTGATTAGTATGCCTGATTCTTGGTGTACTAGTATTTAACAGACCAGAAGTCAGCATTAAGGTGCAGAAATGACGAATATGTTTCATAATTAATTGGTAGATAGTACGAGTCGTGCATCGCTTATGTTTTATTTCAGTGTTGCATTCTCCCTAGCTCCTTGGAAATGTGATATTTAGTATTCTGTTTCGGGCCATATTTTCCTTCAGGTTTGATAATTACCGATCTTCAAGTATCGGTTTTGTAGGGATTTTTGTTTGATTGCATGGAGGTTACAAGTGACCAGTAGGGTACAGCAGGTTGAAGATGAGGCAGTAACTCATCGGAGAAGACATTGCGAAATGGTCGCGCTATATCGTGAATTGGCGGAAGTTAGAATTCAAGGACCATTGGATCGGGTCCCAGTGGCTCAATGGTCTACGAGCTCGCCTTGTAACCAGAAAGTCCTGGATTCCAACCCCGGTGGTGCGCACTGATGAAGAGTCCCAAACTGGGATGAAACAGCTGTCCAGTACTCTTAGGTTTTCCAGTGGTTCTTTAAATGATGTCAGCTCATTATGAAATCCTCTATGCAATTACCAATCTAATTAAAAATTCTGTAGACAAGAACATAAAAACAGTGATCTATTTTACAAACTGAATATTACGAGTTGATCAAAAGATGCAAATCAACGCAACACCCTTGTCCTAAAAGTTTTGAATTTAATTCACCTGTCAACTATGCAAAAAGATAACAAAGCTAAGTTACATGACACTGTGGTGAAATATGATTCGAAACTTAGGATTAAAGTGTGTTGATGGATGGAGACCATCGAAGTTTCCGTTAAGTATCCGCTAACACCCATCAAAAAGCTTATGTGGAATCTTTGTGATTGAAAACACTGCTAAAGCATTTAACAGTTCAGTTCTGAAAAAGATGTTTTAAATTCGAATATATGCATAAAACTTGGGCACTGTGGTAGTAAGTAATTCCATATTAGTTTGTATATTAGATGTATCACAGAAGCTTTTTTTATCGAATCAGCTGCGAATACATGTAACAGGAATGATTCAACACCTATCCCAGATATCTGGAAAATTCTACTACCCCTACGACAAATAGGAGAGGACAAAGAAAACTATAAAACTCAAGTTTCGAAGTCGTGTGATTATAATTGATATGATTATGAACAATAAATTTTGTTCGAAACGTCATTTAGTAAATAATACTGTTTCACTATGTGATACATCTAATATACAAACTAATATGGAATGTTTAAAATTCTCTGTGTGATAAAATTCTTCTATATCTCACCTGGATGGTAGTTGTCCGTGAAAAGAGAGAAGATTAGCTGGGGGCTAGCAACCCCATCTGGTAAGAACAACACTGGCGTTACTGAAACTTTAACACCTTGAAACACTATGTAGCTTAATTGTCTTCAGGAGTGTAAATAGGTCTTGTTAATGACTAATTATGTACTTGAAAAATGGGTCCATAGATTCTTGCTGATTGACTCCTTGGAAAATTCTACAATCTTTATTCCTCCTGAGTATGTATAACTTGGCTTCAGCAGAAATCACCACTTGGTAAAATAGGACATAACTCCCAGTGTGCCATACGTTACACCTACTAAACACGACTCTACAGTGACAAGGTTGAGCGGAGAATAATGATGATTGTAAAAAAGATTCCTTTTTTACTTCATTAGTTAAATACATACAGGTACAATATGCAGAGATGTATGAGACACCTTGTTTACGTCTACCAGAAGACCAGGAGTAATATTTACCTGCGTCCTAGACTTATTCAAAATTTATTTTCTTGAAATTGTAGTTAATTCACTTCAGTGTGATTATGAACAGTAAATTTTTACTCATAAAAGTAATATTTAAATAATAATATTGTATCACAATTAAAAGTCTAATACAATTTTATATTTTAGAATAGTCTTGTGCCTATAGTTGAACCAGAAGTATTACAAGATGGCAATCATGATTTATATACTTGTATGCGAGTGACTGAAGAATTATTATCATGTACTTACAGAAAATTAGCTGAACATCATGTATATTTAGAAGGTACACTACTGAAAACAAATATGGTAACTGCTGGTAATTTACACAGTCAAAAATACAGTGTCGAACAGAATGCTGCTGCAACTATACAAGCCTTACAAAGAACTGTTCCACCTGCAGTACCAGGCAAGTGATTACATGTTTACTTCTTTTGTTTGAATTATTAGTGATCAGTTATTTATGTCCACTGGTCAAAAATGTTGATTTGTTTAGTTGTTTGGATTAAAATGAACTTATTTGATAATGAAGTCAGAAATTAAAAGTAGGTTAGTGAATTGGCCAATAATACTCGATTTCAGCTTTCTTTCTTTCTAACTGATATAAATGTCAGATTATGGTAGAATATAACTCCACATGAGATAAGTTTATTCTGGTGTCTAACACACTGTGTTACAGTGTAACGTTTCGAGAGTAATTTATTCCTCATAATCATATCAGTGTATTCACATTACTTGGTAACCTACTTTGGATAGTCCTATTCCCTTCTGTTTTTATATTGAGCCATTTCCATAGCACGTGTCTGAAGTTGACTCCATGAACAAAGATTCAGTGGTGAACCTCTCTCTCAATTTAACTATAGTGCTTATTAGTAGTTTTATCCCCTCTCACTCTGTTGTGTGATTGCATGCAGGTGAATATATTGTAGTGGACAAGCTTTTTCCCAGATTATTTAACTTATTGTATTATAGTGTTCGAATTTATCTTTCTTAGTGACTGGAAGGGAAATAAAAAAGCCACTGTTATATACCCATAGTGCTTCAGCATACAACAATGTATGACTTAACTGTTGAATACTAACACCACACTGAGACGACACAGGTTACAAAATCGGAAGTCAACGTTTTTATTCCACAAGATAAAAAAGACAGTATGACCAGAAAATACAACTATTTTTTGTGGTTATTTCACACGACAAATAAATTACAAGTTTAAAATATTAAAGCTGTTTTACTGGTTGGTACACAACAAAAATCTAATGACATGACCTGTGATCTAGATTGAGGTCGACTGTGATAAACCAAGACTCATGGTACGTGTACTTCTTAATCTAACGGTTAGGTTATCAAATCGATCTTAAATATGCACTTTGGTGAGCAGTAAATACATTAAAGTACGTAAAGGATATACATTAAAATAATTTGAAACTACGACTCTGTGGTCTAGACGATCAGTTACCGGGCTAAATAGCGTCATTAGTCCATGTGCAGTAGGTGGGAAACATCTCCAGCTGCGTCGAAAAATCCAGTGGTTTCTCCTTTAAAGTGGTCATATAGGTCTACCATGAAAGCCTTGAACGAAATGTTGCCAATCTAGGGAATATGGATATATCCAAATGATGAATTTTTAGTAAAGTGGAATACTCAATCTGGATAGCACAGTCAGTTGACACTTTATACAGCCTTGGTAACGCGGCTTCCAAGGAGCAATTCATCAGTTATCATCCATCAGGTTGAACTACCAGACTGCATTTACAGTGTGACTGAGACGAATTCGGGTGGATTAATCATTTCAGTAATCCGGAAATTTCCCACCATGACTTAAATTATGCATTATCACTTCACATGGAATTTAAATCTACCTTATTCAGGTATAACTATTGTTCATAATTTGCAAATGTTGCTTTGTCAAGATGTGATTGGTTCCAAGTTTTATCACGAAATGACATAACTTAGAGAACTATAATAATCCAGGTAGTACTGGACAGCTTTTCCACCTTATTCTGGACTCTTCAACCGTAAACACTTATGATTCCATCGTGGTCATAAGTTAAACTTAGTTACATTGTAATTGTTAAAACTCATGGTATCAGATTAATTATCCTAATTTCATTATTGCAGAATTTGTTGTAATACTTAATTCAATGAAATTCTATGCGTCATATTATTCTGTCCTACTTCAAATATAAAGATGTAGACCTCATCCTCTTTTTACCAGTAAACTATGATTTCCTCCCAAGTTAGAAGTTAAAAATCAAGGGATGTGGTTTGGTGGTCTTGTGTTTTACTGCTCCGTGATCACTATTAAAAAATGTGTCTGCCATCTAAATTCTGAACTCATTGAGATACGTGAAGTAGAAAGAGCATTTGTATTGCGTTCGCACAGAGCCCATAGGAAATATGCTTGAGGTCTGTCATACACAGCTTGTTTGGAATTGATTCTGAACGAAGACCTCAATTTTGGCTGTGAACTGCCGCAGCGTAAGTCAAAATGTACAATTTATGAGGTTGAACTTCTCTAACCTGCCCTTTCCCCAGAGCGGAGATGCAGCACAGCTGGTTTGCTGGCTATCTCTGTGATATGTGATCCTGTATCAGTGCAAGTCGAAAATAATGACTTCATCATCATCATCAGTGCATCCTTGGGAATGTTGGAGAGTATGAAATTCAGACTTTCTCCAACAAAAGTATGACTCTGAAAGACTGAAATAAAAGCTTTGAATAAAGTCATGCTTATTCTCGCTGAATCTAAATTATTGAAATATATGCATATTTACTCATTAAAGGATTATGTCTTTATTTGTATTTATTTAACCATTTTAGGAATAGTATTTTTATCTGGTGGCATGTCTGAATTAGACGCTACACTGAATTTAAATGCAATTAACAGATGCCCTGGACGTAAGCCTTGGACCTTATCATTCAGTTTTGGTCGAGCATTACAACAGTCAGTGATACAGAAGTGGGATGGGAAAAGTAGTAATATTGTTGCAGCTCAAAATGAACTAATGAAATTAGCACAAGTGAATATTTCTTAAATATCTTGAAGATTTTTCCTACTGTTTTAGTTTTTGAATCACATTGTGCGTCGGTGGTTCAATGACAGTGGCCAACAACAACGCATGTTGCCGGATTCGATTCTTAAACCTCGCCTAGTTTACTAGATGTTTATAAGCCTGTAAAAGAAGGAAAGTTGGTCATAAGGCTAGAAGCATCACCTCCCCTGAAACGTCAAAGTTTTAATCCCCCTATGTTTCAGCCGGAACACGAAGGAGTGGGAAAAAGTGACATGCATTAGCATAAATAACTATCTTTTAACACTGTTTTTCAGCTTTTGAAATATCTTAAGTTTCATTCACACACAAAAATACATTCTTGAACCTATTTAGAATCAGAAAATTAGAATCCAAACTATTTTCTTATGATAAATTTAAGTGATTCGGGATCAATAATCACTGAATCATAAATGCTTATCTTTGAATGATACCACAAAATGGCGGAGGTTGGATTTATGACTATGTGACAAAAATATTTCTATCTTGTTCTGAGATTTTGTCTGTGGGACACTGCACCACTTCTGTGGTGTATATTTTTAGAAGTATTTACTTTGATCTCTTTGTCTGCTCATGTGTATGGATGCGTCTGTCAAAACTGTCTCTATAAAACCATACACATTTTGAAAGCCAATCTAAATCTGGTTGGCTGTTTTATTGCGTGGATTCTATTGTATGTGTGCGTGGTACTGTAACTGTTAAAGTAACTCCCATTTCTGACGTTTTTTGCAGACTTGCCTGTGATATTCTGTTCTGCAACTGTTATATTTTATCACTTTGTATTCCCTTAACATTCAAATGTGCTTAAGTATCTAAATAACAACTACTGAACATCAGTGAAGATTTCGTTACGAACTAACATTAGTAAGAGCATCACTGAAAACTAAGTTGAACTAGAAAGCTTCATTATTCTTCAGCAGTTTGGGATCCCGACCCCATCAGGGATAGAATCCAGGACCTTCCAGTTGCAAGGTCAGTGTGTTGATCATTGGAATTAATCAAAATCCCCACAAAATCCAAAATCTAAATTCCTGCACAGTTTTTGAATTTCTATTATGGGACTGTTAGCTTTTTGTTTGTTCTTAATTACCAAATAGTGGTGCTTCATGTATAAGAACACGATCTACTAAATAATTGTGTGTGTAAGGAGCAATATTATATCTTAGCTGTCCTGGTTGAAGTAGTTGGAATGGGATTCACATAAAAGACCCAGTGTTTGAAAGTTAAGTGTTTACGCCATTGGATCAATACACTGTGAATTTAAAACTTAGATACTTTCAAAAATTTGAAGTCTGAGAAGAACTTTCATTCGCTTAGAGAAGTGAACACAGAATTTTTTTGAATTATACCAACAGTTATTCTTATCCCCATCGTTTCCATTCGTTCTCAAATCCACGAAGTATTCACTAGATTTCAGTGATTTCTCATGTAAACTGAAACGACTTTATCCTTGAGGACTTACAGTTAAGACACCTTCACTTCTGAAAGAAGCAGCGATACCATTTGAGAAGAAAAGGAATAGTAAGGGAAAACCTAATTTTACTGCGTCCAAATACCTTGCATTGAATGGTCAATGGGCTCATCTCATAAAGTGGTGATCCTGACTTCGATACCTGGTGGGTTCATGGGTACGTACTTCAGAAGTGTTTCAAAATAAGACGAAACTGTTGTTCAGTGAGTGATTTTCTAGCTGAAGTCTGTTTGTTATCAAACTTAAAATCAATCAACTTTCTGCAAAACAACACATGAAAAATATTCCTTTTCTCCAAGCAATACACTATGTACTACTTCTAAGTACTTTTATATACTACCCTTGTATTGCTTAATACTAGCACACAAACACACTTCGTATGAATTAAATTAATATGAAATATGATATTCACTCACTTAAAATGTTCAAATTTATGTTTAAATAAAGTGCATTGTAGCTGAAATTCTAGAGTAAGGTGTGACAGCATGATTGAAGAAATTATCTCAAAATATATGTTAGCAATTTTCGGGTTTCTGAACTAATATAACTAGGATAAAATAAATTTTAGACTAGACCAGTGAAAATCATTGGCAAAGAATGAAGAATTACAATCAAAGTGCATTAAGAGATCAGAAGTTTTCATCTTAGTGCAGGGCTGTATCTTGAGTCAATAAATTCACAAATGTTATAATTCTCTTTTATGCCCTCAATGCTGAAGTAATTATTACATCTTAGATATGAAAGGTTTGTGTGACTTTTACTAACCTACTTCATATCTTGTTTAAGGCGTGATATCCGGCAATGCATCAAGGGAAGCATGCACTCAGCAGTAGGTCATTTCATCTTTATGGATTTGAACCAAGGCCATTGGTGTGGAATATACGAAGGAGCTAGTTATCTTTGATCATAAATGTTTACATTAAATCACCTATGCTAAGTGTTACAGTATGTTGAAGGGAGAGGTACACTTTGTGGCTGGATTCTTGAGACTCATTAATTCATGGCTCAAAATTGTTTGTGACATACCTCCATTGTACAGAATCATTCACTCATTGTTATCTCTCAGACCTATAAATTCTTTATTACTCTCTATGAAAGGATTCAATATCCCATATACTTCTGTTTTTATTATTATCTTACTTGCATTTCTTTTCTCCTTTTCATTTATGTGTGATTCACGAAGTGTAAGAACTTAAAGTGATTCACTTTATTGCAAAACTCTATGCTGAAGATTCAATTCAATCCTGAGATGTAGTTCCGTGTTATTTAATCTGTTCATAAACTAGCCTACTGAATGGATAGTTTTTGTATGCATTGCGTTAGTAAGCCTGCAGTCTATGCTAAATTTGTCCAGTAGGAGTAATCATTCAAGATCATTTTGGTATTTTAGAATTTGTATAAAATTTGCATTATTTCTGAGATGAAGAAATTCATGAAATCTTAGCATACTGTTCTCTTCTCAAGTGTGTCAACTTTGCTTGTTATTTAACTTTGTGGTTGATATACACTAGAATACGAGTTATTCTATTAATTTTTCAGGCTAATGGAGCAGCATCACTGGGAAAATTCGATGGGAATCTTCAAACATTAGCATCCGGACAATCTTTATTTGTGGCTAATCATGCTTACTGAATATGAATTTCATGGACGTGTAAACAAATTTATCAAACTTGAAGAATTCATCATTAAGGACGCTTCGACTGATGAAGAGAACCTTACAAACTATTTTTAATGTTGGTTTTATTGAGCACTCAGAAAAAAAATACTTTCTTTTTCATTTCAGTTGAAGATTGTTGTAATTTTTTCTACTTCTTTTTTTAATCCCTTACCTTCTGAGGGGAACGAAGGGCTTATTACTTTTGAAGTCCCAGTAAAGGCGATGTTGTTTTTACGGGATGGATTCGCCAGATGCATGCCTAGCCTTCCACATTTTATGGACTTGATCTGGCTGGCAGAATAGGAGAAGTTCAAGTGTGTGTCGTCTGGGATTTGGAAACGGACTGCATGCATGGTTGGGGACCATTCCCTCACTGAAGTGTTACTGTAATCAATACCATCCTATGAATTCATGACAAGGACCTGCACTTTTCTTCGAAATATGTTTTATACTACTTACTAGTAGCATGAATGATCACGCAATTTTATTTTGATGGCAATATCTACACGGATTTGGTTCGCCTCTAAATTTTCATAAAGGTGGTTTGTCGTATATAAGAAAAATATTAAAACTTAAGGTAGATGACGATATGATCATGCAATTTCAGAGTTAATGAGGGCTCTGAATAAGTTGTAGACATTTAGGTAATTCGTGAAAATCTCACCGTGATTGTTAGATGGTCTTCTCCGAGTTTTTAAAGTTGACTCACAGGCTTCAGAAATGAATGAAAAACCACTGATTATCTGCAGATGATATTATCTACTGAGTAGCCACATCAAAAGTCTAACTTTAGACTAATTAAACATTACATACTCCCTTCAAATTCTTCGTCACAATAAGACACCCTGAGTATATGGTTGATAATGGAGACAAGTTCTAGATATTAATGCTTCCTGTCTTTGAAGTGCGCTTTACTACTGTTGCAAAATCAAGAATGAGACTTCTTGTGTAGACTGAAAATTACTCTGTGGTATTTCATTTTTTCTAACTGAATGACTTAAATCTTGCTACTCTGTACTTTCTCAAGTTGTATAGTCCTATATATATATATATATATATATATATATATATATATATATATGTAATACCGTCATTACAGATGAATGAATGTTTCCAAGTATGTATCATTAAAATCACAGTTTCCCAACAACATTTACGTAGTAGAAAATTGATTAGTTGTGTAGAAACTGAAATAAAAATGAATACGCAAGTTGCGTGACGTAACATAACTGACAGGAGCGAGTACAGCTCAGTTAAAGTTGAAAAATGGCCAAGTTAAAATAGGCGTCATAAGAGGAGTATAAACAGGGTGGTGGGAAAGGAGAGAAAATTACAGAACTGAAAGAACTGCGATTAACAAGCAAACTACTTATCAGATTTTCAGACAAATAAGGTACATTGTCGGTTCAGCGCCTGAAAGAACTTATGTATGCAGACTACAGGATTTAACATGTAGATTGCCATAGTTTCGACTTTTTGAAGAAATTTCATTCGTACTTCTTTGCCAATATTTCCTAGTAAGGCATATATTAACAAGTATGACGAAGAACTCACAATTCAGTAAATAAACATTGTTTTTCACTAAATTCCTTTACAGTGGTATGCAGTTTTGATTTGAATGAATTTTTTGTAAATATTTTATATTCAGTAGACCGGTACGATTCTTTGATTAAACACTATAAGAAACAAAGCTCCAAAATGTCAATATCTGTAGTAGATTTTTCATTCTAAGAATAATCATAAATGTCATTAATCAAAATGATTAGTCAACAAGTAACCACCGTAAGCTTAGACAGACAAAGTAGGATTGTGTAACAATATGAAATCAGTTGTGATTGGCACCAGACTGGAAAGAAA